CAGAGGGAAAGTAAAGAAGTAGGACCTACCAAGTAGTAAGATCCAATAAAAAATTATGAGAAAGACCCAATAAGAAGATATGAAGCAAGATCCAATTCAACAATATGGAAAAATGAAGTAATATCCAACAAAACAATAATATTAATAAATGAAGAAAGATCTGAAAAAACAATAAGAAAATATGACGTAACATCCCATAAGAAATCATGATAGAGGTTCCAATTTTAAAAAATACAGGAGGGCAAATCCAAAAAGAAAATGATCAAGGGAAGCTACAATAAGAAAACTTGAAAAAAGCTGCAGAGGGCATAGACCTAGTGGCTCAACAGCTCAGTTTCTCTTGCTAGTTATACAGGCTGAGTAAAGACAGGCATATCCATTCTACAATAAGTCATTTCGCACAAAAAAACAACCAAAAAAAAGAAAAGAAAAACGTCAGATCGAAACTGCAATGGGAATAAAAAGCAGCAAACACGCGACAGGTGATCGGCAACGAGAGACGGGTGACGGGTGTGACTTACACGGCGTTCATGACGTATCCGCGCTTGCACTCGCAGCGGAAGTACTCGAGTGTGTCGTAGCAGTCCTCCGTGTCCGGGTTGCACGTGTGGTGCTGGTTCTGACACTCGTTCTCCGGCTGGCACTTGTCGAACGCCCAGATTGGGTGGGTCGTGTGCGAGGTCAGGACTTCCGCCTTGCCTTTCACTTCCGCTGAAATGAAAAAAAACCCACATAAAACATGTTGTAAAGCGCAAAGAGTTTGCTTTCAAGTGGGGATATGTGCTATACAAATGCTTTTTATTATTATTATTATTGTTGATGTTGTTGTTATCAATCCAGCAACAGCTGGGATCTCACCCTTCTGTCCAATGCCGTTGTTGTTATTGTTGCTGTTGTTGTTGCTGTTGTTGTTATTGTAATTGCTAAAGTTGTTGTTATTGATCCAACAACAGCTGGGCTCCCGCCCTTCTTTCCAATGCCATGTAGTGATAAGTGCAGGTTTGCTGCAGTTGCTGTAATGTTCCATAGAGTGAGTTCTCAATGTTAGGTCTCAGAGGGCGAAGGGTAGTTAAAAAAACAAGTTAAACATTTATTTAGTAAACAGTCCCCCCCCCCCCTCCCTTGTGTACAGAATTCACACCCCTTTCAACACTATATGGTTATTTAAGAGGCAAGACCTCCAAATTTTAAACGTCCATCTCTCACATGTTGAAGCCAGATTAGTGAAAAATCGTAAAAACTCACAAAAACAACCCCAAATTTAAGAAACGCCCTGTTGGAGACACTTGAAATAACACAAAGACTTTAAAAATCTTCTTCTCAATGTAAAAAAAAAAGATAGCAAAAGAGGCAGACGTAGACACAGATTGTGCACATTTAATCAGGACTTTCGGATTGATAAACTTGTTTGCTTCTTCTAATATCATAGTATCATAGGATGATTACTAATCTTACACATCTTCCAAATATTGATTTTTTAAATTTGATTACTTAATTACTTGATCCTGGGAACAACATCATAGCACTCCGGGCATTGCCATAGGTGCTCCGCTCCCCGCTCCAATATCATTTTTTCTTTAAATTTATTTTTTATAAATGAAATTTATTATTATTTTAAAAATTAAATTAAGGAAAACAAAACTGTTCATGTAGAGTATTCAAAATGAAAAAAAAGTATTATTGCATCTCCAGAAGACAAATGGGACTCCTCCATGGACCCCACCTGTGGCTGACTGAACAAAAAATGGTGTAGGTTTAATGCCCCTATCAACATTATTAGGTTATTTAAGAGGCGGGACCTCTGAGGCTAACTTCAATCTCCGAAAAGACACATGGGAAATTCGTGTAAAGTGCCTTTCCCTCGGACACAACGTCGGACCGAGCTGAGGCTCAACACCCCGAAACCCACAATCTCACGATTACGAGTCCGGTAACCTATGGCTGGCTGACTGAACGAATAAGCGCACTCACCAAAAATGAATAAACCTGTCTTTTCTTCTTCCAATATCACAGGACGATTGTTGACGTCACGCATGTATTTATGTATGTACATATTTATGATTATGTATTTATGTACATAAATGTGTGTTTGCCATTGTAAACTAAAGTGCCCTTCCAGGACAAATAAAAGAGTAATTTATTTTTTTCAATTTATTATTTTTATCTTCAAAAAATAAAAGATTTTTTTTTAATGAAAAAAACCACAACAGTTCATGCAGAGTTTTTTTTAGTCAAATTAAAAAAAGGAAGCAGCGCAGCCCCAAAAGTAAAATGAACCCCAGTTGTGACTGACCGAAAGAACAAATAAGCGCACACACTCACCAATCACATCCACAAACGGCACGCTGACGCTGAAGTTCCCGTCGGAGCACATGCCGTCGAAGGGCCCCGCGATGCCGCCGCTCATACACACGCCCTGGCCGTTCATCCCGCCGAACGCACACCAGCCACAGCCAGGG